CCAAACTTTAATAAGCATGGAAAGTGTTCTCAGCAGTCAACAGACACAGTTAACAGATACAGCTAAGAAAATGGAGGAGATTGCAAAGAAATGTCTGGTTTCAACAGAAGATACGCAGAAAATCAAGAAGAAGGTCAGCAAAATGGAAAAGAAGCAAGAAATGCAAGAAAACAAGTTATTGATGTTACAAATGGAAAAATCAAATTTGACTCTCCGGTTTCAAGGAATTCAAGAAGCGGAAAAAGATCTCAGAAGTATATTAACGGAAGCGTTGGCACCACTGATGGGCAGTGAAGCGGATAAACTAAGCGAAGAAATGGATGTAGTATACAGATCCTATTCTAACTTTACAAAGAAAAATAATCTGCCAGCTGAAGTGGTTGTCAAATTTACCAAGCAGGGTGTAAGAGATCAGATACTCAAAGTGACCTCAGCAACACCCTTGAAAATTGGAGAGCAAACTATAAGGATTTTAAAAGATGTACCATTTGAAATTCGACAGAAGCGGAAGGCATATAAAGGACTGACCACATTCTTGCAAAACCGTCAAATTAACTACAGGTGGTTGTTTCCAGAAGGACTGGTCTTCAAGTTTAAAAGACAAGAGAGAGAAGATTGACTCCATTTTCAAAGCACAAGACTTTTTGAAGAGACACGCCAGCTCAGAGGAGGAAGCAGAACTCGCTAAGTGGAAAATTTTCAACAGCGATGAAGACAGCAATCCGGAGGGAGGAGACGAAGAACCGGAGGAGAAGGGAGCGGCAGGAGGTGTCTCCTATAATCTAAGAGAGAAGAAAGGCAGGCGCCCCAACGTCTGATGAACCTATGAGTGTGCTGCAAGGACAATATTGATATTAACCCAAAAGGACTTTACTAACATAACTAATTTTTATCTTTGACAGGTAATGAAGCAAGAAGATCGATGGCTCACGGTGGAAGCTTTGGACTGTACTAACACTGATAAAAGATTAATATACTAATTTACTCATCACTCGCCCTTTTCTTAATCCCTCTATATACCCTCCCTTTTTTCTGTAAAATTTAAAGCAATAAAATTCTCTCCTTTTTAGGAGAGTTTAATAATAATAATAAAAAGTACCCGGGAAAATCCACTATCAACTGGTTGCGACGGGCTGCAGCCGGACACTCTCTGTGTGATTGCTCCAGCGCTCCTCTCGCATCCCTGCTTCCTGTTTGGAGTGCGCCGGAAACACCCACCGATGGAAACAACGCTGTCGCGT